AGAATTCCTCAAAGAATCTCATAAAATCTCCTTTCAATTGTTGCCAAAAACGTATGAAGAATTCGACCGTGTAGCCATCCGACCCTGGAACCTTATTTCTCCCAAGATTCTTTACAGCTCTCAAAATCTCTGCTTCTTCGAAAGGTCTCTCTAACCACCTACTGTTTTGGATAGGAATTGGTCTCCAGTTAATACCCTTCAAGGAAAATCGTTGACTCCCCTCACTACTGTATAAATTCTAAAAAAAACTCATGATTTCAGTTTCAATTTCCCTTTGATTTACTAGCGAGGCATTCCGCTCATCTTTAATTTCACAAATCTGTGCTTTTCTTTTACGGGCAGCCAAGTATCTATGAAAGAACTTACTGTTTTCATCACCTTCTTTAAGCCAATGGAGTTTACATTTTTGCAGCAACACTCGTTCTTCCGACAAATACAAACTCAGCAAGTCATGCTTCAATGAGCACCTCTTGTCAACTTCTATTGGAGAGAGTCCAAGTAACTCATCTTTGGCATCGATGATGTTGATCTCAGACACAATCTTCTCTTCTTTTTCCTTATGAATCTTGTCATTTTGAGTATTCCACTCTTTAAGCACAGGTTTCAGATTCCTTAGCTTTGTTGATATCACAAAACCGGCCCATCCATAAGAACGATCCTCCGAAAGTTTGGATTCAATTAGGCGAACGCACTCTTTATTCTCTAGCCAAGAGTTGAAAAAACGAAACAGGGAAGGGCGCCAAGTGCAGTCCCCTGCATCAAGGATAATAGGAAAGTGGTCTGATGTTACTCTTTCCACTTTACTTACTCGTGAGTTGTTAAACAAGTTATCCCATTCTTTGGATATGAAAAATCTGTCCAAAAGTGAATGTATAGAGTCGTTTCCCATTCTTGACCATGTGAATTTGCCATTAGATAAGGGAACCTCCAAAAGGTCAAGCTCTTCAATGATACAATTAAATTTTCTCATGCTCCTGGTAATACGTCCCCCTGAAGATCTGTCCGAAGGCCATCTTGTAACGTTAAAATCACCACCCAAGCACCAAAATTTTTCACTGAAGCCTGAGATGTCCCTGGACCGTAATCGCTTTCTATCTCTGTAATCTGTTGGGCCATAAACATTTGTTATCACCACATTATTCAAATTGGAAAGAGAGACTGTTATACTGATTGAGCAAGTGCCTTCTAGAACTTCAGATACTGTGATTCTGCTTTCATCCCATAAAGATAAAATACCTCCTGATTTACCTTCCGAGTTCAAACATGCCCAACCTACATCCTTGGAGCTCCAAAGTGATTTGATGATTATCCGATCAATTTGTTGATGTTTGGTTTCCTGCAATAATACCACATCTGGATTGGATTTCATAATAGTCTTCTTGACTTTTAGTCTCTTCTTATAATCATTTATTCCGCGGGCGTTCCAGGAAAGTATTGTCATGCTTTTGATCTAACAGGGGACAAGGAGATCCCTACAGCCGCAAAATAAGGGGGAATCTGCACACCAGAAGAAGATTTTGTATTATCTCCCTTGAAATCTGCTGGAACAGAGTGATCCATCATTATTTCAGGGTTATTAACGGCATTACCCTCTGTGATACCGAAAAGATTATTGAATTCTTTTCCAAAAGAATAATTAGAAAAGTCAAAAGTACTCGTATCTTGGACATCCGGTCCATTAGTAGAATCTGGACTACTAATGCTTCCATTAAAACCATCCTCGTCATCAGATAATATACCATCTGCATTTTGATTTCTTAGCTGTACGTTTGTAGAATTAATGCAGCCCAATGTAAGAGATGAGTTAGCCTTCAATGATTCTTTCCTTGTGGCTGTGAGATCATTATTTTTCTAAATGAAATAAGACTTTTCAGTATTGAGAGGGCAAAACTCCTTAATTCTAGGAGAAATATATTTTTTTGACGAATCAATTTCCTCTAATTGATTACATTCTCTTTCATCAATAAAAGCATATTCCAAGTTTAGCCTTAAAGGAGCAATCCCAATACTGTTTAGAGAATCCATGCCCTTGTTTAACCTTGCAGAAGATTTTCTTCTCGAAAAATGAAAGGGTAAAGCTGGAATAAATTTCCTTGGCGGCAAAGTCACTGTATCTGAACTTGGGCAGAGAGAATTTTCCTTAACGGCTGCTAGAGAATCTGATTTTCTTTCCTCCTTATCGTTTGGTAAAATCCCCGTGATCCCCTCCCTATAATCACGCCCGTTAGTTGGCAATTTTCCAATTAAACGCTCAT